AGCACTCTTCTCCAGCATCACGTTATCTCAAGTGAATTGATTTTCTTCCTGTCATCTTTCTTAACTGTCCAGCTTGCACATCCATGCATAGTAATAGGGAATACAATGGCTTGCATGATTCTAACTTTTGTGCTGAGATGTATATCTTTGCATTTTAGAGTCTTTTGTAGTTCTTTCATAGCCACCCTCCTTATTCTTAGTCTTCTGACTGAGTGCAATTCCCATTTCTATCAATGTTTGATCCCAAGTATGGGAATTCTTTTACTATTTCTATTTCTTCATTGTCTAGGTTGAACTTGTGAAAGTCCTCGGTGGTCATTATTTTTCTTTTCTTTATGTTCAACATTAAGCTTGCCTTTGCACTTTCTTCTTTGATCTTCCTTAGTAGGTGTTCCAAGTCTGTGAGGTTTTCTACTAGTATTATGGCGTCATCTGCATCTCTTATATTGTTGATATCCCTTCCTCCTGTTTTCACTCCTTCTTCTTCTGTTTTCAAGCCAGTTTTTTCTTATAATATGTTCTGCATACAAGGTGAAAGGATGCAGCCTTGTCTGAGTCCTTTGCCGATTGGGAACCATTCTGTTTCTCCGTATTCTGTTCTGACAGTAGCCTCTTGTCCTGAGTACAGATTCCTCATTAGGACTATCAGATGTGTTGGCACTCCCATGTTTTTAAGGACATCCCATAGCCTTTCATGTAATTATGCTGTACGAACCATGCTAATTGTCTTTACCAATAATAATGACACATAAATTAAACCTTTAATATTATACACACACACACACATATATATATAGGTAGTGTTCAAAGATATAGCCATGCTAGTCTGTAAAACCAGTCTGTAGAGAGACCTTGTAGCCTCTTTGAGACTCACTGAAAGAAAGAAGTGGGCAACATGAGGTTTTGTAGACTAAATTCTACTTCTTCAGATGCATTTATATAGGTAGTGGTTACTATGCAAAGTGTTGGACTAGGACTGGAGAGCAGGATTCGATTCCTGCTCAGCCATGAAACCCATTAGGTGACCATGGGCAGCACACTTTCTCAGCCTCAGAGGAATCCAAAGACAAACCCCCTCTAAACAAATCTTGCCAAGAAAACCGGAGGATAGGTTCCCCTTTGGGTTACCATAAATCAGAAACACAGAACAACAACAACAACAAGACTGTTTTAGGATTTGTTTTTCCCCCTAACCTACCAACTCAAAACTGCCAATTCTGGCCCTTGCTGCACAGTGCTATGAGGATACCATGTACAGTGGGCCCTTGGTATCTGTTGGGGTTTAGATTCAAAATCCATGGATCCTCAAGTCCCAATATATACAATACTGTAGTTGAAATGGTGTCCCTTATATAAAATGGCAAAATCAAGGTTTGCTTTTTGGAATATATATATATATATATTGAGCCCTGGGTGGTTGGAAATGTGGAAATGAAGAGGTGACTACAGAGAAAAGAGCATCATAATGTTAGTCTTCAAGTCATTTTGGACTTATGGAAACCCTGGGGTTTTCTGGGGCTGAGAGTGTGTGACTTACCCAAGGTCACCCACTGGGTTTCTACAGCTGAGCAGGGAAACAAAGCCTAGACTCCCAAGTCCTAGTCCTATGCTCAAACCACCACCATGCTGGTTCTCCAACGTAATATATAGGATGCCAATTCCAAATTGAGAAAGAGAGAGAGTGCATTGAAGAGCAGCACCAGAGACACTCAAGCAAGCACAATGATGAACAGATGGGGCATTCAGACACCCATCCTGGAATTATGGCTGCTGCCACACTAGAATTAATCCAGTTTGACACCACTTTAATTGCATTGGCTCCCTCCTGTGGAATACTGGGGTTTGTAGTTTGTTGTGACTCCAGAACTCCCTGAGAGAAGGCTCAGTCTCACAAAACTACAAACCCCACAATTCCATAGCATTGAGCCACAGCAGTTATAGCAGTGTCAAACTGCATGAGAAATGGTGTGCACATGCACTTAATACAAGGGCCAAGATGGATAGCAACTGGTGAAGATTTTGGGCCTTTGCAGTCTGCTAGAAATAGTGCAAATTGAGTCCACTTTACCCTTGCTCACTGCTAGGGAATTATGGGAACTGTAGTTTCTTCTGAGACACTGAGCCTTCTCTGTCAGAGAGCTCTGATGCCACAATAAACTACAGTTCCCATGATTCCTTAGCACTGAGCCAGGGCAGTTAAAGTGGCCTCAATTTGCACTATTTCTGGCAGTCTGCAAAGGCCCTTTGTTTTGTTTCTAGCAAATTAGTATATTGTTTCAGTATTTTAGCATTTTATAGTGGTGTGTTTTATCATTCGTTTTTGATTGTACAGTATATATTCTGATGTACCACCCTTTGGTGAAAAGAGCATTACAAATAAACATTGTTATTGTTATTGTTACTATTATTGACTTGTGTGTGAGTACACACCTGCATACAGGCGAAGGATCATGTATATGTGTGGAGATCTAGAAATCCTTTGGGAGGAAATGTTTCCGTCTATTCACTGCATCTTACTCCCAGCTTGGGGTACAGTTTCTTAGGAGTTTATAACATGGGACGAATCCCGTGCAGAAACTAGATTTAAAGTGAAAACAACCCGCAAAACATGCAGGGGTAGGCAACCTTTCCCCTTTAAGGGCTGAGGGACTTCAGCTCCCAGAAGCCTCAGCCATGTTGGCCAATAGTCCCATGTTGGCCAATAGCTCCTGGGATTCTGGGAGCTGAAGTCCCTCGGCCCTTAAAGGGGAAAGGTTGCCTACCCCTGCGCAAAAGCATTCAGGGTTAACCTGAGCGGAAAGTAGACAAAACTTGCAATTGTGGGTTGTTTTTCAGATGTTTGCGTGAAAGAGAAATAACGCGAAAATAACCCAAGTGGAAAGTCGACATAACCCGCTTTTTATTTTGGAGAACTTCCGAAAGTAAAA